ATTCCAAAGTTGGGGGGGCAACAGCATATTTCAACATGCCATCCCCCTCGCCTCTTTCAGGGATGGAACCTTCAGAAGGGCCTCCTGGTCTGATCTTAGAGGACGGGCAGGCTCATATGGAAGAAGGCGGTCCTTTAGATAACCAGGTCCTAAGCCGTTTAGGGCTTTATATGTCAGAGTAAGCACTTTGAATTGGGCCCAAGCAGCAACCGGCAGCCAGTGTAAATTTTTCAGAACCGCCGTGATATGAGTCCGTGCAGCGGCACCATTTACCAGCCGCACAGCCCAGTTCTGTGCCAGTATGATAGTGGAACCAGTTACCTCAGGAGTTGGTAAGTGCTCCAGCACTGGAGGCATTCAAGAAAAACTTGGATAATCACCTGGCAAATATGCTTAGATTGCATTCCTGCATTGAGCAAAGGGTTGGACTTGATGGCCTTGTAGGCCCCTTCCAACTTCACTTTTCTATGATTCTATGATATAGATTAAAAACAAAAGATGGTGACAAAACCATAGCAATCAACTCTTAAATAATAGGTCATCAAAAAGTTACAGAAACCAAGATTAAGTAGGTATAAGACTGTGGAAGGCCTGAGTAAAAAGTCAGGTTTTTACTTGTTTCCTAAAGCTTAGGAGGGAACAAGCCTGTTGCAATTCCAAACAGAAAGGAATTCCACATGGTGGGGGCTGTTACTGAAAAAAAAAACCGGTTCCTTGTTGTTGATTTCCAGGCGTCCCTTCAGGTGGCCACTCATAACATCATGGATTGGGAGGTGCAGGTGGCATGAGAGGTTGCTCTGAGGAAGAGGCACTCTGACAAGTAACAAGGTTCTAAACTGCTTTCATGCCAACATCATAACTTTGAACCTGGCCTAAAAGCATACTGGCAGCCAGTGCAAATGAGCCAAGGCAGGGTTAATAGTTGTTCTAATAACAAATTTCTGACTAGTGATTCTTATGATACAGTGTAGGAAAAACAAGGGTTTTCTCCTGTTTCTCTGACCTATACTTGTTTTTTTCTGAGAGAAAAATCTCTTATGGCATGATAAAGAAAACAGGCAAAGAGGAAACAATGATATATATTGTTACATATATATTCTATTTTTAGGTTATCCAGTATCTCTCATAATCAGTTACACTATATGTGACACAGCAAGAACAGAAGCTTGGGAGAATAGCAGTAATGCCAAATAACACTAATGATAAGGATTACAGTGTGTTATCTTCCAAATGTAACCACACTTTTGTATTAAATGGAGAATAACCTGTGCTGTGTGTTGAAGCATTGTTAGCAATACATGAAGATTAATATACTGTTACTGTTTGATATCATGCTAAATATGTCAAAGCAAATTTTTGAAGTCTTCACTGTGATCCACAGCTAAATGGAACATTAGCTCAGGGATGACTAGAAGCTACTGCCTTTGCCACTTAAGTTCTCATGATCCACTTATACAGGTATCAGGGCAGGTGTTACAGTAAATCAGATGATGTATTCCAGCAGCTGTATACCAGCCAACTTCTTAGAAGGTGGCACAGGTTGTTGGAGAACAAGGTTTTAAAGTGACCCCTTCAGGTCAGAAATTGCACCTTGAAATTTATTATGCTTACACTCATTCCTCAATTAGAAAGAGGAGTAGGTGAAGACATTGACTCTTAATATGGGTACAGAATATTTCTAATTATTTCTGAGTGATGTTTGCAGGCAGACACCTGTAGATACAAAATAGGCATCTTATCTAATGTTTCTCTCAAATCCTGCCAACAATTTTAATTTTGTCTGATCTGACACACCACCTTCTGTGTATTACCATGCAATGCACCATTGCTGACACCTATTCTTTCTTCTGTGCTGCTTTCTCTGCTTCTGCCCCATCTCACTTGCCAAAGGGTGCTGCTATATACATTGAATTACAATAAATTATTATTTGTATTATTATAGCAGCAAGGCCTCCAATAATCTGAAGGGGTTTCCAAAAAGTCATTTTTTAAAAAGCAACTCATTATTTGTTATTTTCAACTTTAACTCACTAGTGTTGCTGTCTGGACATTATTTTAAAAGTACTACATATTACTAGTGTATTACTAATATGTTACTTTAAAACATTTTGTTTTAAAAATACATGTAGAAATAAAAAATAAAATAAAATAAAAATTTCATCAAAAGCAAGGGTAATGTTATTCATTTACACTAAATAAAGTTATGATGTTAGCACTCACATTGATTTTTAAAAAACATCATCCAGCCACTTGTTGCTGGCTGGATAGCTTAGTGTATTACATATCTAGCTACAAAGCCAGAGGTTGGGAGTTCAATTGTCTACTGTGCATCCCAGAAGAGCCAGCCTTTGTTGGCTTGGGCAAGCTGCACAGTCCAAAGTTGCTTCTGGAAGAAGAGAATGGTAAACCACTTCTAAGTACTCTCTGCTTAGAAACACCAGACACTTATGGTGACCCCCAAAGGGTCACCATGAGTTTGCTTTGATGGCACACTTATTCTTATTCTTAGCTCATTATCTCCCCAAAGCAGTATGTTAAAGATAATAGCATTACCTGTAACATGTTATCTGTATGCATTGCATGGGTCTTGGTGAAAAAAAAGGAATATGCAAAAATTATTTGGATTGGGTTGACACTCACTCAGACACCACTTAAAATGCCAGAATGTGACACAGCTATAGGTAGTTGGCTTTACATAGATTGGAATCAAGGCAAAGAAAAATACAGAATAACCGGTACAGTTAGTTCTGCTGATCATGCACTTAGTTGTTATTGGTAAAACAGGAATCATGTGCCTGAAAACAATGTCATTCTCTAAAAATGGGCAGTAACTGTAGCTCATCTACGGCTGGAATTGAAGGCAATAATTTATTATTAAAAATAGTGTTATTAATGTGCCATAAAGTAACTAAAATCACAGTGGAAGATATTTGCTGCAGGGTACGCTAACATAATGGAAACAAAGCACTAGGGAATGACACATTCCCACATGTCTACTTTTTGATAATTTCAAAACAGTGTGTATTCATCATTTCAGTGTGTTGTAGGCACCATTCGTCAACTCCAAAAATGACAGGGTGATTTAAGGACACCGGTAACTCATTGCCCTTAGGTAATCCTATGTAACAGGATTAACTCAGTGTTGCTTTCCTTTTGTTAGTGTGAATCACTTTATGTTTTATATTTTCTGGATTTCATTTTCTTTTATATATTTGTATAGAAATAAAGGCATTTAAGAATTAAGGTGTACACAAATGTTTCTATTATTGAAGGACTTGCTCTGCGTTCCAAATAACGAAGATTACAAATGAAATGTGCTTTACTGATAGTCTTGTTTTGAGTTCATTTGGTTGCTAGCTTAATATTGACTTTGCAAGCTAATGTGGGCATTAAAAAATCTGAAATTTATCCAATTAATGGTGAAATATGGAATGGAAGCTCCCCACTGACCAAAGTTTCATTAAACATTTTTATAAAGTTCACCCACACTTATTGTATGAAAGTTCTTTCCATTCCTTGTTTCATTCTATTTGTAGATGACTCATTCTTGGAAAGAGAGGTACTCCATTTATCTGCATTAAATTGAATGTATAATTTAATATCCCTGTTATTCTTCTGTAAGATTAATTTGTGTGTCTTTTAACCTAAGCACTATCCAAAGCTTTCCTCTTCCCCACTCTCATTCCATTGTTTGTGTTTTATTGCTCCTTGACTCAGTACCTAATAAAAGAATCAGCATCCAATGAATGCTGGCTGTGATCCCACATATTAAAGGTGAAATTGACGTTAGGCCTGCATTCAGATCTAACCTTAGTTATGGGCAGATCTCCTTTTTAGTTTCTATTTAATTCTCATCTATGAAATGGGACATCACAAGACTAAAGCCAGTATGTATGAGATGGGAATTTAAAAGTTATTTGATATATGCCAAAGATTTGAAAAAGAAAATTATTATGAATTAATTATGTCTTAATATTTTAACGGGGGATGTGGTGGTGCTGTGGGTTAACAGAAGCCTCTGTGCTGCAAGGTCGGAAGTCCAGCAGTTGTAAGATCGAATCCATGCAATGGAGTAAGCTCCTGTCGCTTGAACCAGCTCCTGCCAACCTAGCAGTTCAAAAGCATGTAAAAATGCGAGTAGACGAATAGGTACCCCCACGATGGGAAGGTAATGGCGTTCTGTGTCTAGTCATGCTGGTCACGTGACCATGGAAACTGTCTATGGACAAACACTGGCTCTGTGGCTTCGAAATGGGGATGAACACCGCCCCCTAGAGTCGGACACGACTGGACTAAATGTCAAAGGAACCTTTACCTTTACAGTACCTAATATTTTAATGCATGAGCTAAAATGCTGTTAGTGTACCTACGCCTGCAGAAAACTGATGACTACATAGGACCATTTTCAGTAATTAAAAATGTTCTTCTGTCCCACAGATTTCCCAGCTCCAATGTAATCCCTGTGCAAGCCATAGGACAGGAAGAGGAAGAATTTAACTATGAAAAAATAGCCCCCTGTTGGAAATATCATCTGGCAGCAGTTATTTCCAGTATTTAAAGGCTTCCTCCTTCTATCCCACAGGTTCCATGCTATGAAGAGGAGTGAGAAAAGCCATAGGTTAGAAGTAGAATGTTTCTAATTAACAAAAATTGCCCCCTGTTGGTGATATCACCACTCTGCAGTTGTAAATTATGCAACAAGATTTCAACCATGAAGCTGCCTTGGGACAAATGTGGGATACAAGTCTATTAACTAACTAACTACAGTAAATTGATTATCTATGATGAAATGAATAAACCTGGCATATTTTATTGTCAGTATATGTTTCTTAACATACCAGAACAAATAACAATACAACTACTTTGTCATTTGTATCTGAATCTGCTGCTTCCTTCTTTGAAACTGCTGGAAATAAAACCAACCAGAAAACTCTGGAAAAAAATTCAGATCTGGTAAGGTTATATAAAACATTGTTACGATTTTCACTTTTTTTCCTTAAGTCTGTAACAACACATTTAGTATTAGTTTTCTATACAAAAGTATTTTAAAATCTCTGTTCTACACCTGAAATCAACCAAACAGTTATTCAACTTTGCAGTTTTTGAATACACTGGAAAAGTCCCCCTTTTGGCAAGATAATTTATCTGCCTTGTTTTTGTTTTGTTTTTGTTTGATTTTTAATCTAATTTCAAGTTCTGAGAAAGTTAAAGAATATTGGAATAGTATATATAGGTAAAGAAACTACACCTTATATAGTCCAATGATTTTTGGGGACTGGCTTATATTGTAAATGACTACAGTACTTTTATGGAAGTCGTATGATTTATGATAAATTATCATTTTTTGCAACAGCTGGTGAGCTGAGCTTTGGTAACTCCCAGCATAATGGTAACAAAAACAAGGATGCAAAAAATGAAGAAATGTAAAAATTTCATGAGCTTTTCTGGGCTATAACTGTCAGATACAATGAAAGTTATGAGGCTGTTCTTTTACTGCTTGCTGGAGACAATTTAAGAAAAAGAGCAGATTTACACTCCCATTACCCCAGAATAGACTGTAACATCCTGGGAGGGAGGGGGAGAGAGTATAATACCCTCCCAGGATATTACAGTCTATTCTTTGGTAGAGCAAAATAGAATTATTAAAAACGCAAATCTGAAGCACCTTTCCCCTTGAAGTTGGAGAGCGGCCCAGGTTTCCTAGGGGAGTTAAGGCAGTGCTGAGCCGGCCCGCCAGAAGGGAAGCATGCCTTGGCAAAAGTGGGCACCAGGCTGTGGTTATATCAACTACAGGAATGGGCTGAGCGAGGGAGAGCGGAGAGCCCCGAGGTGGGCTCCCTCCCAGTTGTTTCTCTCCCAGTGAGAGGACACCCCTCCCCGTCTCTTCCCAACTCCGTCAGAAACAATCTGAGGGAAGTCAAAGTCTGAGGGAGGGCAAGAGAGAAGAGCGGGAACAGTTCCCAGTGAGGCACGTTGTAGCTTCCAGAGTGTCACTCCTGGCTCTGGCTTGTTCAGCGTCGCTGCCAAACAGGGGCAAGATGGGCAGCCCCGGCTGCGAAGGGGCCCGTCGGTTAAGAGAGCCGGAGGGGTCTCCGCGGGCGGGCGGCGGCTGTGGGGTCCTGGAGGCTTAGACCCACGTTGCTCCGTCCTCTCTCTTGCGGGACTGAGCGAGACTCTTCCTCCCCTTTCTCTCTGTCTCTCTCTCTCTCTCGCGTGCCCGCGTTGCCTGCTTTTTTCCCTGGCACTCGTGGGGCGGGTGCGGAGTTCGCCTTTGCCGCTGTGCCTCCGGCTCCCGGTGGGGCGCGCACGGGGGAAGGGGAAACCAGGTCACCAGCGCCGCCGAGACAGGCCAACCGGCTTGGGAAGTGGGACTGACTCAGGTGTTGTCGGCTGTCAGAAGCGGAAGGCGAAAAGGGAAGGGAGGGCTTCCCCGAGCGGCCGAATTATTGCACCTCTCCTCGCAATCAACAGAAGCCTCAGCCGGCGGAGAGAAATTACGGCAGCGGCGGCGGCGGCCCGGCTTGATCCCAGATCAAGGATTTTGTTGGCGGTGAGTGTTCTGGTCGGGTTCTCGGCCCACGACCCACCTCCGCTGCAGCCGGGGCTCGGCGAGGGGACCAATGGCACGGGCGCCAGGGCTGAGGGTGTCATCGAGCTCCTGACCCGGACTCACACTCTTGCTCACAGCTGGACTTGGCCCAGGGAGCAGCAGCTGTGGCAGATGTTTGGGAGACGGGAGGGTATTTTTAGAACCTGCCTGGCTCCCGTCGTCTGAAATGCATCAGAGAGTCTTTCCGTTGGGTGTTTTCTTGAGGAGGGGTGGGGGGTGAGAGTAGGTGGGGGGGATGTCCAGGGTTTTAAGCGATCGTGTTTCCTACGCAGGATATTGGCAGAAAGACGCGGGACGGATATAGCCTGGATTTATCGGTATTAAAAACAAGCTGCAGATTTCTCGCTCTTGTGTGTTTGCGCTTGTGCGTTTGTATCTTTAAATTTCTCTCCGCCAAGAAGACAAGCAGGGTTTTCCAGCTCGGCCTTTGACGGAACAGAATGTTTCATCATAGGGTTTTCGAATGTATTAAATATGCACTAAAAAAAGAAAGAAAAAAAGAAGTCGTCCCGATGGCTCCTTGCAGCGTGTGCTTAGTTGTTGACGAAAATGGGCTTTTATTTTTTATTTTTTTAAAAAATGTCTCTGGCATAGTTTTGTGCGGGCTCGATGGCAAGGAGCGAGCGAGTGGAAGTTTCCATGATGAGTAAGTTATATGACAAGGGATCCTGTGGAGGATGATCTTTCCACAGCAGCAGTTTGCGGGGAGAGGGGCTTAGCAGTGCGGCGGGAGAGGGGACACCATGAAGACTCCTGGCCTCCCTGTGTGGGTGTGGAGGAGACGCCTCAGAAAGAGGGATGGCCTCTCTATTTTTTTAAACGTCCCTTGACTTGCGTGGTTTTTAAAGATACAGCCGTAAATGATTACCTTGTTAGAAAATATGGATCCCTTAAAGACTTCTTTCTCCAGAACTCCCAAATACATCGTACTGTACTCAGAAAAGAGCAGGCAAGCAAGTTTTATCCAAATAAAGAAAGGGTTTTTTTTAAAAGCTACAAGAAGAAAGTGAAAACTGAATTTTCCCTCTCTCCTTGTGTTATTAATGTATTCATTATTCCCAGGAGGGCTTACAAATAACAGTGGCATGCTATCCATTAAACTCCTACCTACCCACCCTCACGGGATTCCTCTGCCTCCAGGACTTCAGGCTTGTGGGTTCCGCCTTGTTTTTGTTTCTCTGCTTGTTTTAACTAGAAGCCCAGATCTGCTTGTTGGAGCCAGGTAAAAAAGCCATAGACTTTGGAGTGAAAGAATCCTAGACTCAGGGCATGACTTGGGACAGTGATGTCAGTAGGCCGAATCTTGGGGTCAACATCCAGAGCCCTGCAGCCTACTTCATCTAGATGTCCACAAAGTCACAGCCCACAGGAGCAGGAAGAGATCAGTTTGCCAGGGCACTTGATTTCCATGGATGTACTGGCTTCTACAAAAGCCACCATTACGCCTTTTAAGTTCTCCTCTCCTTTAAAAAAATGTTTTCATTCAAGAGGCATGTATATAATAAAAGGAGATATTCATTTTATTATATCAGCTTTACATTATAAAGCCAAACTAAATAATTTGGCCTAACTTGAGTAGACTCGGGATGAATAGGACCTAGTGTTGACTTAACAAGTCCCTTTCACTCAGTGGATCTGCTCTAGTTGGGACTAACCACTGGATTTAGTCCATTTATTATCTTTTTTTAAAATCTAAAGCAATATTTATTTTCAAATATGTTCACAGTCAGAGCAACATAACCAAACCCCTTTTATTTCTTAGTCATGTTAGTCATGTGGTCATAATAGTGTTATGATTTAAGCTTAAAATGCAAAATTGCACATGCTCGAATTTATTTGAGTGCTTATTTATTTATTTGTCCTTTTTATAGGCTGCCCTATCCCAAGTGCTGGCAAACCTTTCTCTTCCTCTTCCATTTCTTTCTTTGTTTTTTAGTCCGATTATCAGAAATGTAGGAACAGTTATAAAACAGGGAATGGTATGCTGTATTGACAGGGGAGATTCTTATTATGTGTATGTTTCACAAATGAAAAAAAAAGCAACATAGTCATCTAAATTATGTCCCGCATAAGACTCTTAAGTCCAGGCGCTAACATCATGGAGGTCCAGCACTGATTCTGAGTACTAGAATTAATGGAGCTGAAAGCCCATCCACACAAAAGTCTACTCCTAATTACTCCTAATTTTCTTCATTTCAGCAATATAAATTAGAAAAGGGGCAAGAATAATTTTGTGATTGCCATTGTTGTTACACAACTGGGTATTTAAAAAAAAAACTTTTCCAAAATCACTCAGAGATCTGTCAGTTTACTTTCTGTCCAACTCTGGCCTACCTGGGAATCATGAATCATGATGATGCAATGGTTTTAGACATGAAATCTATTGTGTGACCTTGTGTTAACCAGTCATCTTCAGCAAAACCAACCTGACAGGATTTTGAAGTGTATATGTGGAGTAGACACTGCCATCTATGATGGAAACTATAGTTGAGCTGAAGTGGATAGGCACCCATTCTATTCTCCAGAGGCTTTCTGGACTGCAGCACCCATGATCCTTCACAATTATCCAACTAGAGGAGATGGGAATTGCAGTCCCACATGTTTGAAAGGCAACACATTGACTTGCCATAGAGGAAAGCTGAGATATAAAAGCACCTGTGTTATTTAATTCTTACTCTTACATCCGACCTTTCCTGCACTGAGTTCAAGGTTTCCTCTTCTTCCTCAGATGCACAGCAGGAATCCTAAGAGATAGAAGAGGGTCAGGAAAATGAATAGGCCCAGAGTATTTCATGACTCAGTAAGGACCCGAGTCTCTCAAGTCCCACTTTTCCAACTCTCTTAACCATAACATTGTATTGGCTTCCTATCAATGTACTGAAGTGAGCTGCTTTTCTTTTCCACAGACAATGAGACCTCTCCAAAGTGAATTATCCAAATTTGCCTACTAAGCTCACTGAGTGGAAATTCGAACTTGTGTCTCCCCAGAATTAGTGCAGGATTAAAACCACTGTATGACACTAGATCTAGATTAAAAACATCACAGTAGTAACAGTAATTTCCTAGGGTTGTGACACTCAAATGCTTTTTCTTTTGGTTAGTGTGGAAACTCGGTGATGGTATGTTTATTCATCATTCTTCTGATAAGATCTGTCTAGCTACTACTTGCTTTCTAAGAAGAAAGATGTTCTTTTTGAAAGCCATCCTGACTTCTCAGACAATTTGTTCCAGCTCTTCCCTTCTCAAATATGTGATGCAGGTCACTTAGTGGAGAGGGAAAGGATCTGAAGCATGCACACGGACACTCCCTTCTTGCCAGTACGTCATGTATTCTTGACCTCAGGAAACAAGTTTCTTGACCTAAGTGTCCACACTCTGAGATTAAAATTGATTTTGTGAACATTCCCCCTTTCCAGGATAGGCTGGCAGCTATAGTTACTACAACCAGGAATTTCAAACTGAATCCCGAACTCTTTACCAAACCACTATTTTCAGGATTGTTTATATGAAACCATGACAGCTGAAGTACAATAAAACTGCAATGCTTGATAGATCCCAATGAGCGTGATCACAGTTTGTATCTCTTTGTGTATATTTATGTTATTAAACTGATGTCAGATTTATATTGCTTTAAAGTGTTATGGCTTCCTCCAAACAATCTGGGAATTACTGTTTGCTGATAGTGCTGTAAATTCTGTGTCTAGAAATTCCTAGCTCTCATAAGAGAACTACCATCTCCTGGGGATATAGATGAGTCAAAGTCTAATGTGTAGACATAGCTTTCACAATGAAGTTTTTGCAATGAGCATAGTAGTATCACTTCATGGAGTACAACTCCCAGAATCCCACAACCATCAGAGGAATGGAGTATATGTATTGTTTTTAGTGTGGCATTTGTTAAGTATTGTATACTTATTTTATTTAGCATTTAATTACGTAAATCGCCTTGGGTACTTCTTAAGGAGAAAGACTGGGTACAAACATACAAAGAGTTACTCAGCCTCAGCTTAAATAACACAAGGGAGGAGAACCTGCCACCTGGAAAAGTGCTGTGGTTCTTCCCATATCACTGCAGCATTGTCCATAGGGTCTGCTGTATGAGCATGTTACATGATAACACTGCCATGTGATATCCTGGGTCATCACATGGATGTAGCATAGAAGAACAGGAGTGACACGGAAACAGCCTGCAGGGTAGTGGCAACTGCATTATGACCAGCAACAATGGTGCAAGGATGTGTTCATACAAATGTATGCCAACATAATTTGTGGGCCATTTGTCTTTCTTTTAAAATCAATACATTATCACTCAATTTTTTGTGTTTTTTCCCCTGTGTTAGCATTTTCTCACCCATGGAATGTTAACAAGGAATGTTACCCATAGGGATACTTGTGGATAGATAGACTACAGCTACATTTTCAGGAAGGACTCAAGCACTTCACAACAATGCTGGTCATTTCAAATGACCCAAGCCCTGGTGCAGTTCTGAAATGTGTGGATTGGCACCACTCTTAAATTGCACAAGGGCTTCCATCCTTGTCAGTCAATGCTGGGAGGTTTCCCAGTTACCAACAGCACTGGTTTAGACCTCAACATATAGCAAAAAAGGAGCTGCTGGAGCTGCCCTCAGGCAAGAACTGTGTCTCTGCCCAGGCAGTGATGGATAGCTTTCCCAGCCACCTCAGCACTGGCTGACTGGCGGTGTTGTTTTTGCTGGGGGCAGGGGAGGCTCGAGTAGTTCCTTCTCCCCTGTATGTCAGGCAGGTGTGGTTGCCATGATCCTGGCACTGCCAGTAGTGGTGGGAAGACTCCCAGCCTGGGAGGGACTGTTCCATGTCCTTTTTCAATGTGAGGATTCACATTAAAGCAAGACATGAGAAACAAGTGGTTTCACACCTCTTTTCAGATATTCCACACTAAAAACTTTACTGTTGGTTAT